TATGAATGTAAGACAGATTCATGAGCAGGCTTACCTGAAGCCCATACCAAAGTCCCAGATTGGTTAGACTAAGAGATCTCTCGCTCCAAAGATCCTCATACTGCAAAAGAGAAAGGATGTAAGAGCATGTGAGAGTATAACAGCATGATGACTGATGTGACAAACCTTGAACAGCTTCAAGCCTTCAGTCATGGCAACTCGAGCTGGAATGCTCGTTGCAACACAAGCATAGTGGAGGGGGCCGCTGCAACCTTGCTCGCTTAGGGCAGTTATCACGTAGTTTATGCCTGCCTCCTTAGTCAGTCTGCAGATCCTCTGCAGGCAACGGAGCATATAATGTCAAGGACATGCACCTTCCCTTTCCTTCACAGCACCATAATGACCAATGTGCTTACCTGAGCTCGAATGACTTTTGATTTTGCCGAACCAACTCCTTCGTGGAAACGGCCAGGCGATCTGCAATCCAGTTGACCCAAAAGCCATTGCTCAAGGATGATGGACCTTGGATCGCGTACTATGAGTGTTCCTTTGTAAGGCCTTGGAAGTTTTATCAAATCTTCGTCATCATACTTCTCTACCTGTCATCCGAACATATGCTACGAAATGTCAGCAACGTAAAGCACAAGAGCATGCTGAGAACCTCTGAAGCACATTTGCAAAATTACCTGGAACACATCAGACGAGCAGTCCAACGAGTCTGAACCGCCCTCTCCGAACATCAAATTCTCGTCATTTGAGAACGCTCGAAGGATTTCTCGCCACCAGCCAAGACCAGTCATTGGCCCAGCAATGTTGATCAAAGTGTGATTCTTTCCGGACACAATAGGGCCCTCCTTGCTTGGCGCCAGTCGTTCTTCGCAAATTGATTCTTCATCACGTTCTGCAGTCAGGTGGACTGCGACCGAAAGTAGCATTAAGACACCCATTGCGACAGCGCAATACTGCGAAAACTTCCGTTACCTGCTGCGGAGTAATCAATTCTGTGTGTGCTGGCATACATAAGGCTCATCGACACCATGGTGAAAAGGCCAAGGAGAATAATTATTGAGAGGGCTGCTGCCAGCCTCGTCTTCATAGTTGACGTTCCTCTCATGCCATACATGGCGAGCGGAAGGAGAAGCGTCACTGCGAATCAATTTGGGATTAAGAACGACTGAACCTATTCCAGGTTAGTGTGAAAAACTCATCATCCTCACCCATCACCAACGCCCCAAGGTCCTTCACAAAGTCGCCGGCAATCATGGTTGCAACTTGCAAGGAGAAATGCGAATGGCGGATGAAGTCGCGAGCACTTATTGTTCAACTGCAAGCGGAAGCCGCTAACTCGTTCTTGCAGGCTTCTCCCAAGGAATGGAGTGCGCTTGTTCAGAGCAAGACTAGAATGGTGATTCTTCGATTTATCATCTGGAGGGCTTCTGAAGAGTTTCCCAAGGTTCCTTGTTTCTTCCCATCTCAAATCTGCATTGGGTATCGGTTTGTTTCAATTTGCAAATCATTATTGTTCGATCCATCGGTTCGTTTTCCGTACAAACTGTTCGACGCGTCAAAAGCTCTGGGGTTCGCGCGGACTTCGAAGTTCAGTTGCGATGCGTTTCCCGTGTACCGTGCCAGCTATAGAAACGGTCAATCCTGACACGCTTCACTTCAGGGAGCACAAATGTGCTGTTTCAGTTACAACACAAATCAGTCCTCACTTCTCTGCCCAGCACAGAATACGAACTTTCAGGTGAACCAAAAGTGTACCATCCAACCAAAGAACCAACCAACCACATTTACCGCATTTCTCGCCGCTCCCCCTCTGGATTAGTACAGCGTTGATGCGCATCTCGATTCGGCCTCGATTTACGAGCGCACTTCAGAACTGCCAGAATCGGCCCAGAGAGCGAGTATTATGTGGGATTTTCCTAATATTTAGGTTCTCGACAACATGTGAACCAGGATCTGTGCTTTTAGGTTAAATAAACGATTTTCGACCTGTTGAAATGTCGTCTGATAGTCGTTTATTGTCGTCCGACCGTCCAATGAATGATCCGCCGCCTTCGTCCCTTTCGCGAGCCCAGCTCACTGGATTCTTGGACCTCCTTCCGCCTGTCGACTTCGCCTTCGCCTATGGCTCGCGCGTCTTCCAGCAGCCACCAGTCGACAGGAAAATCCCGCGAGGTATCACTCCGCAAGATTGCACCATCCGGGTTAACAGCAGCCATGACGGTAATACTAGCGGCAGCTGTAACACCCCCCTCAGCAGCTCTAGCAGCGATCAGTCCGAACATCCGGGAAGCGGCGACGAGAGGAGTGGCAGCAGCAGCAGCAGCAGCAACAGCAACGGCAGCAGCTCCAGCTTTCAGTGGGGGAGAACTGACAGGAAAAACCTGCCAGGCTTCCAGCATGCTGACCATCCATCCCATTCCTCCATCCCTCCCTCACCACCATCTTCGTCCATGGTGGATTTCATCCTGGCCGTTGATGACCCCTTATCCTGGCATGCTGAGGTGAGGCATTGGGTCATTCTAATCTCTGGCAGCATCAACGGCATTTGATGCTACTTGGATGTGACTCCAGGGCTCCTCGTCCTGATGTTAGTATTCGTCTTTCCAGTGGTGCTTGTGATGCTTCCAAACTCCCTCGGGTTCCCCTTCCTGCCCATGCTCTTATCACATGTTTCCTTTCCCGCTGCATGACACCATCACCATGCACATGCCCATGTCCATGTCGTCCCACCTCGTGGTTGCATCAAAACCTGAGACATAATCGACCCGACAATTTTTCCCTCCTCTTTGCGTCTTTCCTTCCCCGCTGCATTTCACCATGTCCATGTCTATGGCCCGTAGAACTTGAGACATAACCGAGCCCACTACTCCTCCCTCCTCGCCACCTTCGGCAGCCGAGCTGTAAGCCCTCTCTTCTCTTTCCCTGGCTAATCAGGAGTTGAAGGCTCCTCGTACATACTTCTTATGTGCACGCCACAGCTACTCCTCCCTCCTCACCACATTCGGCACCTGAGCCGTAAGCCCTCGCTATTCTTCTCCTCCCTAGCTGTTGTAAGAGCTGAAGGCTCCTCTTATATGCCTCTTACATGCACGGCCACAGCTACTCCTCCCTCCTCACCACATTCGGCACCTGAGCTGTAAGCCCTCGCTATTCTTCTCCTCCCTAGCTGTTGTAAGAGCTGAAGGCTCCTCTTATATGCCTCTTACATGCACGGCCACAGCTACTCCTCCCTCCTCACCACATTCGGTAGCCGAGCTGTAAGCCCTCGCTATTCTTTCCCTGGCTAATCAAGAGCTGAAGGCACCTGCACGTTCCCCGTTGCTTGTGCATATGTGTGTATGCGCATAGGTGTAATTTATTCTGCTCTGATCCGTAACCAGCAAGCCGTTTTCCTCACTTCACATTGTCGCCCCACCCTTAGCTTGTGCCGTTTTCTTCTGTCCATAGCGTTCATTCCGCTTCCATGTTGCGCCAATCTCTTTCCTGCTGTGTTGCACAACCCCTTTCACTCGCCCCACCTCCTATTCTCGCCCTTGTAAGATTGTGGCAGCAGCAGACAGATTGGGGGTGGGGGTGCACTTCAATCCGTTCGTTCCACACTCACCACTCAACCAGGTGCTTTAGGACTCATTCCTCTCTGGTTTGGTGTTTGAGTTTACTCAAGAGTCGCACTCGCTCATCACTAACCAGATGTGCAAGAATTCGTGCTGTGCTTCATGGAATCTCCCTCTTCCGTTGGTAATCAAGGAAATGCAGTGAGCTGATCGGATCAAGTCGCACACACTTGGTCCGATGCACAAATTTCATGTAGTCTTATGCCTTGTTTTTGCATGTGAAGCACGAAATGATTGCAACACGACTCAATAGCCACCTTGTTCGTGCTGCACACGTGGAACCCCATTGGCAGGTCAAGTACGGAGTAATTGCAACAAGGGCTCTGCAATCAGACCTCGTCACGTGGCAGCACCTCTACATCAGTGGCCGCCTTCACAAGCCTGTACTGCTGCCTTTCTGTGCGCCTCCCTGCCTTGCCTCTCCCTTCATCTCCACGCTCCCCTTCTTTCCCCCCTCCGCCCCTTCCACCACACCCCCATCGATCTTCTCCTCCTCACCTTTACACCCTCTTCCCCCCTGGCGATTCCCCTCCTTTTCAAGACATCACACTATATCCTTCTTCTAGCCTGCTGTTTCCTCTCATTTGGTCTCACTCCACTCGACCTCTCTCTCCACCTCTCCACTTCATATCCTCTTCTCCGTTCTCTTTCCTCTTCTCCCCCTTCCCCTGGTTTTATGAAATTGCATTGTGTAGATTTACAAACATGCATGTGCAAATGCATACACGTACATACATGCATGTACATGCACATGAACACATACGCCATGCATGGCACACATATATGTTGCATGAAAAACAAACTCACTTATTGCTACATCCATGTTATGTTGTGATGGTCTCGTGATCTGCAGGTGGAGATTCTTATTCCTCATGATCACGTCCTCTCATTACAACCACACAACTTGAGAGCAGCTGTGGCTGCGGCGCTGCTGCTTCTCCCCCAGACGTTCACAGAGGTACTCTGTTTGGAAGCGAAATCATGTTTCATATCGTTCACATTGTTCCTCATAAATTTCCTAATCTCAGGAAATAGCGAATCGAGTGCCCAACTTTGCATTGTTTAGAGTGACGGCCATCTGCAGTTGCTTCTCTGACATAACGGCAGGCCGTCTGTTTTCTTCTCCAGTGGTTCCTGGCTGTACTCCCGCGTTCCAGCCTCCTTCGTCCATGGACATTTCATATCAGAAACCTTAAAAAAAGGAAGAAAGAAACAAACGTATGTCGTTTTGAGATATCTCATAACGGATATTTTTGTCCTTGTGCATCACGCTCGTGGATGAACTTGTTCTCATTACTTCCTGTTTTACTCTCCTATCGTGGATTGCCCTACTCCCATCACTACCAGCATGAGCTGTATGAGGCCATTTGCCGCATCTCATACGCAGGCGATGTGCGCATGGCACTAGCTGAAGACCCCAACAAGGTACGTGTGTGTGTGCTGCAGTCTGCACGCCTTCACCACCATCCGCTCGAGCTGTATAGGGCGATTTGCCGCATTTCATACACAGGCGATGTGCGCATGGCACTAGCTGAAGACCCCAACAAGGTACGTGCGTCTTGGGTGGTGGGTATGTGTGTCTTGGCTGGTGATCAGAGCCATGGCATCTACACCTTGTACATACGAATTCAGCACATGTGTCATCTCTAAGCTGTCTCAACCTTCCACTCTCTCCTATGTCAAGCTCACCTTACTGTCGCTTGTCCCGTTTCCCGATTCTTCTCTTCAGATCAGCAGAATCGTCTCCGGTGGTTTCCACCATTTCCGCTCGCTCTATCGCTCCTCTCTCCAGCATTTCGTCAACTCAGGCTGCCTTCACTGCATCTCGTCCACTCCTGCCGAGTCTTCCACAGCTGGACAACGGAGCATCAGGTTGATAGGACAGGTGAGGAGCTAGCTTCACTTCCGCTCGCTCTATCGCTCCTCTCTCCAGCATTTCGTCAACTCGGGCTGCCTCCACTGCATTCCGTCCACTCCTGCTGAATCTTCTGGAACTGGACTACAGAACAACGGACCAATAGAGCAGGTGGGGAGCGAGCAGCAGTTTATCTGCTGCCCTGTCTTGTACCGGACGAGTTCTGAGGCACCTCAAAACTCGTCCACTCCGGGCGAGTTGTCCCCAGCTAGACTGGAGAGCAACGGATTGATAGGACAGGTGAGGCACTAGCAGCACTTTGTCTCTGCTGCCACTCTATTTAAACGACGCGTGAGCTGCCGAGCATGGCCGGTTAAATCATATTGTACGCGTTCAGAGGGTTTGATGCGCACTGTTTTTGCAGTGTCCCCACCTTTCCTCATCTCACCACCTCAGCCCATCATCTCTCCTTTCTGCTGCCTCCCCTCTGGGTCTCTCCGCTTCACACCCTGGCCTAGCGCCTTTTGAGGCGCCTCGAATTCTTGAATCTAAATTTAAGTGGAGAAAGGCGCAGGAAGAGGGTAGAGGGGAGCAGGGAGAGGGGAAAGGGGAGCAAGGAGAGGGGAGAGGGGAGCAGGGAGAGGGGAGAGGTGAGAGGGGACCAGGGAGAGAGGAGAGGGAAGTGGGGAGAGGAGAGAGGGAAGAGGGGAGAGGGAAGAGCGAAGAAGAGTATTGATGAAATAACAAAAACATTCGCTGGGGGTGAGTTCATTACCCAGGTGCCGGCGGCGGGTTTTCAGGAAGGTCACACGAGTTGTGTATACGGAGGTGCTTCAGGGGCGAGAGGGAAGGAATGTGTTGGCAAAAAGGTGCAACAATTCTTAATGGTGGAGGTTGTGATTTGTGTAAGGAATAATTGGGATAACGCAAATGCTTGGTTGAATGACGTTAAGGTGCCGACGTGGCGGAAAAGGAAGATTGGGGTAATGACGCCAATCTGCTGAAGGGACTTCAGCCACTGGGGGTTGCATTGGCGCGGGCCCAGAAGAAAGCAAGTGCGGTGGCCGAACCCGCAGCGCAGGGGTAGCACCAAGTGCGTCCAGGTTTGGTGTGGGAGGGTGGACTTTGGGGTGGCACCTGAACGCACCACAATTGGACGCACCGGGCGCTATTCCTGTGCTGCTGGCTCGGCCACCGCACTTGATTTCTCTCGGGCCAGCGCCAATGCAAACCCCAGTAGCTAAAGCACCTTTTGTTCATTCTTCATCCCGTTCGCCTACTAAACCCTTCCTTTGTTTCGTCTCTTCCATCTACTTATTATGTTTCTCCTCCAGCAAATTCCCTTCTCTGTTCTCACCTCCCTCTCACGTCACCTCCTCCCCACCCCTTTTTCCTCCCTGCACACTCCTTGCAGGAGATTTCAATCACTTGTCGCCAATACCTCATTCAGCACATCCCAGCCTCCATTCGCGCCTCACTCTCACTCCGCCTCCTCCGTACTCCACCTTACCTTCCTCGCTCCCCTCTGCCATCCCACTTTTGCAAATGCTCAGCCCTTCCCAGTTCCAAGATGTGGGAAAGAACACCGGCGTCCCAGATGCTGATTCAACCCAGCTTTGCCACGTCAGCAGCTCTCTCGCGTCGGCTTGCATTGAGTGTCTCCAGAAACGTGTTGTGTGCTGAGCTAGCAGCTGAGCTGGCGAGGCGAGTGCGCATAGCCAGTGCCAGGCAGGCCGTAGCAGGAGTGCTGGCAGCAGGTCCCGCACATGCTGCAAGGTATCTGTCCAAGAAGCTAGCCAAGGCTTGGATGAAATCATAGGCGATCCAACCCCCAGCTGGCGTGGCGAGTGCGCATAGCCAGTGCCAGGCAAGCCGTAGGAGGAGTGCTAGCTGCAGGTCCCGCACATGCCCTGAGGTACCATATCTGTCCAAGAAGCTAGCCAAGGCTTGGATGAAAGCCTAGGCGATCCAACCCCCAGTTGGCGAGGCGACTGCAATTTTCCCGTGCCAGGCAAGCCGTAGCAGGAGTGCTGGCAGCAGCTGGTCTAGCACAAGCTGAAATGTATTGTGCAGGAAGCTGGTACTGTATTCAAGGGATGGATGAAATCCTAGGTGCATTACAAGGGATCTTCCATTTGCAGGAAAATATATCCCTTTTTGTGGCTTGAATGCGTTGCTTCAGAAATTATTAATGACCTGTTCGGTTAAATCAACAAAAGATTGCAACGACGAGGCATGCTAGACGGCAACGACGAGGCATGCTGCAGTGCAAGTTGAAGTTTGGCAATGGTGGAATGATTCTATAACTGTAATCCTCTCCCACAGAGGGCGGCGTAGGTTGTTTTTTGGGTTGCGAAGCAACCTATTACAATCGTTATGTACAATTTTTTTTTCAATCCTCTATACTTTAAAAAATTGAGGATGGAAAAAATATAGTGAACGGTACAAGCTAAGTGACTGACTGCTATGTATTTGCCGGTTTAATTTACCACGTGCTGAACCACATTCCTTCTCATTTCCTAGTTTACTTTGACTGAACCTATATTTCATGAGTTGCCAAAATGATGTACTGTGAACGCGTAACTGTTTATCCTGTGATGCATATGTCTGATGATGTTATGCGTAGATGAAGTAAATGCAAATGCATACCAGTAAGTATAATGCATATTCTATCGGTAATGAAATAAATGCATAGCATGATGGAAATGCGTAACAGTTAATTGACGCAGACCCTATGCTACCGCATCCCCTGCCTAGCATTGGGGGGAGCTCAATAGCATAATTTCTGAATCATCCAACTGTTACATGAAACAACACAATCTGTGTGGTCTAAAAAACAGGTCAATTCTATCAAATCCAGTTCGAATGGACACACTCACTGAGTGCGCAAAGAACCTTCTCGGAAATGATAGTTTGATCCCAGTTTTTGAAACCCACAGACATGTGTTGTTAATGCAGTGGAAACATGAATGAATGTCAGAACATTATAGCTTACTTATTTGTGTAGGCTATAGTGGGGTATCCCATAGGGGGTACAACCCAATTAGGGTTTCATATTTGTACTCACTTCATTCATAGTTCATTCCATTCTCGTTCTTTCTTTCACATGGAATCAGAGCAGGTTCCCTCCTAGGGACTGCTTCTAGGGCCCACCGAAGCGCGCCCCGAGGCGCGTTTTCCTTTTTTTCGCGACCCGTTGTGTCGCCCCCAGCGGCCCATCGCGCCGCCCTTCCCTTAGCGGCCCCGCCGCCCTTCGATCGCGGCTCCGCCGCGCTTCCTTAGCGGCCCCGCCGCCCTTCGATCGCGGCTCCGCCGCCCTTCCTTAGCGGCCAGGCCGCCCTCTGCTAAGCGGCCCCGCCGCCCTTCGATCGCGGCCCCGCCGCCCTCTGCTAAGCGGCCCCGCCGCCTTGCTCACGCGGCCCCGCCGCCCTCTGCTACGCGGCCTCGCCGCCGCGTCGCCCGTGCACCTACCCGTGCGGCCGCCAGTGCAGCCGCCCGTGCGCAGCCTACGAGCCGCCCCAGCCGCCCGTGCAGCCGCCCGTGCATCGCCCGTGAGCCGCCCCAACCGCCCGTGCAGCCGCCCGCGAGCCGTCCCAGCCGCCCGTGCGGCCGCCCGCGAGACGCCCGCGCCGCCCAAGCCGCCCGAGCCGCCCGCGAGACGCCCGCGCCGCCCGAGCCGCCCGAGCCGCCCGCGAGACGCCCGCGCCGCCCGAGCCGCCCGAGCCGCCCGCGAGACGCGCGCGCCGCCCGAGCCGCCCGAGCCGCCCGAGCCGCCCGTGCCGCCCGAGCCGCCCGAGGAGCCGATCTTCTGCTCCTGTGAGGCTCCTACTGCTCCTGGGCCGGCGCAGCTGCTGTGCTGCCGCGTTGCTGTGTCGCTGTGCTACCCGACTCTTCCTGCCCGGTGAGACTGTCAGCTGCTACAATGGCCACCCCCAGTGTCCTGACTTTTGACGCTGAGGGTCGCGCCATTGACTTTGCAGTCTGGATTGAGGACCTGCAGCTGTACTTACTGTGCGATGCGATCGATGAGGTTTCTCTCTTTGACTTTGTCTCTGGCGCTGTCCCTGCCCCTCCTGCTGATGCTGACCCCACTGTTCGCTCCAAGTGGGCCACACGCGATGCTGCTGCACGTCTTGCTGTGCGTCGCCACCTCCCTTCCTCCGAGCGTGCACACTTTAGTCAGTGCAAGACCGCTCATGCCTTGTACGACGCTGTAGTTGCGCGCTACTCCTCCCCTTCCACTGCTACACTGAGCCGCCTCATGCTACCGTACCTCTTCCCTGACCTTGCTGCCTTTCCCACAGTCACTGACCTCTTTACCCACCTTCGCGCTAGTGACACTCGCTACCGAGCTGCGCTTCCTGCTGCCTTCCTAGCCGAAAACCCCCCTCCCATGTACATCACCCTCTACTTTCTAGTCACCCGTCTCCCTGAGTCCCTTCGTGCTGTTAGGGACCAGTTTCTCTCTGTCTGTCCCACCACCCTCACTGTCGACCTCCTTGAGAAGTCCCTGCTAGCGGCCGAGAAGAGCATAGTCGCTGTAGGGGCCTCTCGTGGTGACCCGCGCACCCCCATCTTTGAGGGGTGTTCTCCTTCCCCCCTGCTACCCTCTGTCGCCTCTGCTGCTGCGGCCGACCTCGTTGGTTTAGAGTCGGTCGGTGCGGCGTCTGCCCCCAGCGGTAGGCGCCGCTCTGGCAGGAGCAAGGGGGGCAAGGGAGCGGGTGGAGCTAGCGGAGGAGGTGGGGGCGGCGGGGGGAGTGGGGGTGGCGGTGGGGGTGGAGGCGGGAGTGGAGGTACTGGTGGCGGCGGTGGAGGCGGAGGTGGCGGCGGAGGTGGTGGCGGAGGAGGCAGTGGGAGTGGCGGGGGCGAGGGTGGCGGTGGCGGTGGTGGCGGCGGAGGCGGGGGTGGCGGTGGTGGAGGTGGTCGGAGTGGCTCGTCCCAGAGGAGCGGCACTGGGGGTGGTCAGCGCCAGCAGCAGCAGCAGCAGCAGCACTCTCGCGACGTCCCCGCCCCTCAGCAGCTCCGTGAGTGGTACTCGCAGCGTCAGCGTGGTGGGGCGTTCGGTCCCTGCACCTACGTCCTTCGCACCGGCGACCATGCGGGTGAGCAGTGTGGGGGCACCCACACCGCTCGCCGCTGCTTTGCCCGCCTGACCGACGCTTGGCGCCAGCAGTTTCCGGAGGCCTCTGAGATCCCCCGCTGGGGAGAGCTGTCTAGGGCTGGTGTAGCTGTGTTTGATCTTGACTTTGATGCTATCCTTGCTGCCATGTATGCTGTGACTGTTAGTGATTATGGTGACTGTTACCGGTGCTTTCCGCCCGACCCGGGCATTGGTACTGCTGTGTCAGGTGCCAGTGAGGCTGCTGCTCTAGGTGCCAGTGCGTCTGTGCTCTCAGGTGCTAGTGAGTCTGCCCTCTCAGGTACTGTGTCGGCTTCTGCCTCCCACACCTTCACCCTTGACTCTGGGGCGTCTCGCTCCTTCTTTCGGGACCGCACCACTCTCACGCCGCTTAGACGGCCGGTTGCGGTGTCCCTGGCTGACCCCTCTGGGGGTCCTGTCCTGTCTCGTTTCTCCACAGTCCTCCCGTGTCCGGCGGCTCCCTCTGGCACCCTGACTGGTCTTTACCTCCCCTCGTTCTCTACGAACCTGGTGAGTGGTGCTGACCTACAGGATGTGGGGGTCCACCAGTTCACTCCTGCTCGTCAGCGGGTGACACACTGCACAGAGGCTAGCACAGGTCGCCACCTGGCTACGTTTACACGTCAGCCAGGGTCGAGCCTGTAAACACTGACCACTGCTTCTCCTCCCGGTGCTGAGTCTGGTAGCGTCCCTTCGTCTGGTCAGGTGTTTGCTACAGCGTCCAGGTCTGGTCCTGAGTCTGCCCCTTGTTCGTGTCGCCGCCTGTCTCACGAGACTCTCCTCTGGCACCACCGCCTTGGCCACCCCTCTCTGCTTCGGCTCAGAGGCATGGCCTCCCGTCTTCTTGTGTCTGGTCTCCCTCGGTCCCTCCCTCCCCTTCCTCAGGGCCCTGGCCCTGCCTGTGTCCCCTGTGTTGACGGGCGCCAGCGTGCTGCCCCTCACTCCTCCCAGTTTCCTCCGACAGAGGCTCCGTTGCAGACGCTTCACATGGACGTGTGGGGCCCTGCCCGCGTCCGTGGACTCGGTCACGAGCGCTACTTCCTGTTGGTGGTTGACGACTACTCGCGTTACACCACAGTCTTCCCCTTGCGCAGCAAGGGTGATGTCACTGAGGTGCTGATCGACTGGATGCGCGCAGCTCGTCTCCAGCTCAGGCAGAGCTTTGGCTCGGACTTTCCTGTGTTGCGTCTGCACTCGGACAGAGGCGGAGAGTTCTCCTCTTGCCTTCTGCGTGCCTTCTGTCGTGCGCGAGGCATCCGCCAGACCTTCACGCTTCCGGACCCACCGCAGCAAAATGGGATTGCAGAGCGCCCCATTGGCATGGTCATGGACGTCGCTCGTACGTCTATGATGCATGCGGCTGCCCCCCATTTGCTTTGGCCGTTTGCGGTCAGGTACGCGGCGCATCAGATCAACCTCCACCCCAGGGTCTCCAGGCCGGAGACCTCCCCAGCCCTGCTGTGGACGGGGAAGGTTGGCGATGCGTCGGCGTTCCGAGTCTGAGGATCTCGGGCGTTTGTCCATGACTTGTCAGCGGACAAGCTGTCCCCTCGCGCTGCTCCCTGCGTCTTCCTGGGGTTCCCCCCCGACGCCCCTGGGTGGCAGTTCTACCACCCCACCTCTCGACGTGTTCTGTCCTCCCAGGACGTCACGTTCGACGAGTCGGTACCCTACTACCG